TATGAGTTTGTGGGAAAGGAGATTGACCGAATGATGCAACAAGGAATTATTCAACCATCATCTAGCCCTTGGGTATTACCAATTGTTTTGATTAAAAAGAAAAATGGGAAAATAAGGTTTTGTGTTAACTATTGAAAATTGAACAAAATCACCAAACAGGATGCATATCTTTTATCTAGGATTGATGAAATATTGGACTCATTGGGAAAAGCAAAATGGTTCTCATTATTGGATTTGGCAAGTGGATACTGGCAAGTGGAAATGTATAAAATGGATAAGGAAAAAATGGCATTCATCACCAAACAAGGAATATTTGAATTCAACGTTATGCCCTTTGGATTAACAAATACACCTGCAACTTTTCAACACTTGATGGATTGCATATTTCATAACATCAAGAACAAATATGTATTGGTATATCTGGATGATATCAACATATTTTCTAATATATTTGAGGAGCATATATAATATCTTACTGAGGTTTTGGAAAGGTTTCGACAAGCTAACCTCAAATTAAACTTGGAAAAATACCATTTTTGTAAAAAGGAACTGGCATTTTTGGGGCATATAGTTAGTGAAAAAGAAATTCAACCAGATCCAGGCAAAGTGGAAAAGGTTCAAAACTTTCCTATACCGACCAATATTATAAATTGAGAGGATTTATTGGATTAGCTTCTTATTACCACCGCTTCATTAGGGATTTTGCTTCAATTGTGAAACTGATGCATCGATTAATGAGGAAAAATATATCCTATGTCTGGAATGAGGATTGTCAAAAGGCATTTGAAATCCTCAAGGAAAAATTGACCACCGCACCAATCTTGATTTATCCTAATTTTATCAAACCATTTGTCCTATATACTGATGCTTCTTATCTGGGATTAGGAGCAATCTTATCACAAAAAGATGATGAAGGAAATAAACATATAGTTGCTTATGCAAGCCACAATTTGGTTGGAGCTGAATATAATTATTCATCAACTGAAATTGAGTGTCTTGCATCTGTATAGGTCATGAAATACTTTCGACCTTATATATATTTAATGGATTTTATATTAGTAACTGATTATGTAACATTACAATAGATGATGAATAACCCCAACTCAACAAAACAAATGACTTAATGAATTCTTACTATTACTGACTACCTCTTTCAAATTCAATATTGCAAAGGCAAAAAGTATCAAAATGTGGATGCATTATCATATATACCCTATCCTATAATTAAATAATTATGGATTTGGAAACTTATCAATGGCTATTTCAATATTTATCGGATGGAACTCTATCAATACACCTGGACAACAAACAATGGACAATCTTTAAAAAACAAGCAACGCATTATTTGATACAATCACACCAACTTTTTCGATGAAATATTAAAAATCCAATTGAACCTTTATGAGTTATCAAAACAACTGAGCTGGAATCAGTTTTACACAATCTGCATGAAAATATTTTATCTGAACATTTTGGGATTGAAGCAACTTATAATCAAGCTAGGAGTCGATACTATTGATCAAATCTGTACAAAACTATTGCCGAATATATCAAATCCTGTGACACATGTCAATGACAAGGAGCATCTGTACAACATGAAGAAATGCACCCAATACCAATAGAAAAACCATTTGACCAAGTAGGAATTGATATTATAGGACCATTAACAGTAACAACTAGTGGAAATCAATATATTGTTGTAGCAACTAAATATTTGACTAAATGGCCTAAAGCTAAAGCCATTAAGGATACTAAGGCAATCACAATTGCTAAATTTATTTATAAGGAAATTATCTGTCAACATAGATGCCCTAAAGTCCTATTATCTGATTAAGGAACACCTTTTTGCAATGAATTGATGGACTCTTTATACCAATTGATGCAAATTAAACATCATTTGTCATTTGCTTATCACCCACAAACTAATGGATTAATTGAGCACTTCAACAAAACTTTATGCACAACATTGGCCAAATATGTTAGTGATTATGGTGATACTTGGGATACTTTTCTAAATGTATTATTATTTGCATACAGGACTGTTTAAAATAATACAACCAAATATACACCATTCAAATTAATATATGGATGGGAGGCAATAACACCAGTGAATTTACAATATCAAACATCAATGAAGAAGAAGGGAACTATGGAGAAACAATTGCAACAACATATTGATTTTATTACTAAGGACCTACAAAATCTGCGTACAAATGCACAACAAAATATTGGGAAAGCACAGGAAAAGCAAAAGCGATACTACGATCAAGGTATTAAAATGGAAAAATTCAATATTGGAGATAAGGTTTTATTATATGAATCAGCAAAAGCAAAAGTACATGGAAATAAATTTAGGGAAAAATGGACTGGACCATACTATGTACATGAGATGAACTCAACAGGAGCATATAAATTAAGGACTATAGATAGAAAAGTCTTAAAAAGGAATGTAAACACCAACTGACTCAAGTGGTATTTTAAGAGACCGATTTGGGAATCGCAAATTATAATATAGTTTAATTATTAGTTATTATTATTTGAATAGCATATATATATAAAATTATAGGACATTACCTTTCTTGAGGACATGACAGTAGAGATGGATGGTTATGATAATCGTGTGCGAGTGTGGGCACATAATACTGGGTTATCTTGGGAGGATATCTATTGGAAAAAGATATTTAAAATTATATGACAACAAGGACCCACTGAGCAACACCTTATTGCCATCTTATCACTGACCTACAGAGTAATACAGTGATAAGGAAAATATGAACAACAATATGGACAAAGCAATTTATTTAAAAAAATAGTTCTGAAGGTTCATGAACTACATGCGGATTTGGGAAGCAAGCAAAATATTCTGTATTGTTAGAATTAGGACCAGGATCTTTATGTGGATAACTTTCTATCCAAGAAGGATTAAAAGTCCAAACAAAAGGACAGAAAGTAATATCAACCTGCCAAGGAAAAGGATAACAACTAGGAATGTGATATCAATACTGAAATAATGCCGACTGAAGCTTATCAACATGCTCACAAAGTGCCAAAACTTCTAAACACAAGGTATTTTCTTGATGAAGTCTTGCTACTATCCAACCAGCATTTATCTCAAGAAGTGAAGTAATACGAGACTGATAGCAACCCAGGGATTCCTAACCATAAACTTGAAGGTGTTGCAGTTGATTTCTTTGCTTTTGATATTGTGACCACAATTGGGATAATTGGTTTCGCAACTCAACCAATTCCTCTTGATACTTTGGACATTCATATCTAACAATGGCATGACCAAGGAACTTAATCTTTTCTTGAAGGGTCATGATGCAACCAACAATAGCATCAGGATGTTCAATGGCATGAGCAAGTCTGTTAATATGAGGCATAATGATGATTTGAAAAATGGAGATAAAAATATAGCAAGAAAAAGTTTAAGTCCTTAAATATGGAAGTAACCAACAATGTCAATTGGCGTAATCTCAAAACCTATATAACTATTTTATATCTTGAGAAAATTCCCACCATGGAAAATGCCAAAACTCACATGCCAACAATCTGCCTTAGAAAAATGAACTTACTCAAAATGGATATGCTTTCTATTTTGGATGAAACCCCTACGAGATTTACTACGCCATATAATCCAGTTGCACCAATCAATGAATCTATTAGAATGATGATCTTGGAAATTATCTGATATATGCAACAATCTCATCGAATTGTTGTATTAATCCATCTGTATTACTTAGGAGAATTATTGAAAGTCACAAAGGATTCGCAACAAATTTGGAAAAAATATATCCAAAAATATTCACTATCTAATCATAGGAAGTATTACTGATCCGCCATACAAACCTATGAAATTTTTCAGAAGAATATGGAACAAATTTATTAAACAAAGTATCTATCTATGTACTACATAGCCAGGATGACTAATGGAGATTATCAAAATAATTTTTTGGTTTTTGTGAAGGGTTTAGGCTCAGGGACTTTGCCTTTTAAAGGGAGGGAATGTGTAATAGAATAGATAACTTAGTCTTATTTTACTTATTTTTTATTGGATTATTTCTTATTCTATTTTTAGCAATAGCATTTATTTAGTTATTTATAGCATTTATAGTTATTTATAGTCCATATAATATAGATCGGACAGTCCAGGAGGCCTAAGCAGTCTACAAGGCTCAAAGGATTCACAAGGCTATCTAATCTATAAAATTAGAACATCGCAATACATAGATCAGGCAGCCCAAGCACCCCAAGCAGCCCAGGCAGCCTATATAGGAAAAACACTATATAAGTAGCTGCTGTATATGAATTTAGTCTGATAGTTTTAGGATAACTCACTTTTGTAATCGCTTGGAATTCTGTTTTTGTATCTTAATAAATATTCTTATTTTATTAAATACATTTTGATTACAAAGATTTTTGAGAAATCTTTGCCGTTTCTTGTAATATTTGTGAGAGATTATCTCTGGAACAACGGATAGTTCTATATAATCTCTAATTTCTTCTAAAAACTACCATTCAGACACTTGACCAAAAGGATTTTGATCACAATATTGATAAACAAATAGTTACATAGAATTAAAAATTGATTTCTAAATGCCATATAGATCTTTACTAAAATGACTAAATAATCAAGCAGGACAACGGAAACCCAATTAAATATGATTTTCATATATATTATTATACCTGATTTCTACTATCGTTCTATTTGGGTGTTCGTCTAACCATTTGTAATGATAATTGCACTAATATATATAATAATAAATTCGCATTATGAACATATAATAATGAATTCGCATTACAAATATATAATAATGAATTTGTATTATGAACACTGTTTCCAAGGCATTCTATGCCACCGTTCCATTGTATATTTTGTTCAATCATTTGTGATGAGGATCACGCTAATGCATATGATATTAAACTTGTATAACGAAAACCGTTTCCAACCATCTTACGCGATATTTCTAGATATAATCAAATAGTCATTCAAAAATCTGATGGCACATAGACAAAAACCTGATAAAACTTTTGAACAATGTCAAAAGAGGCTGCTTGCTAGGAAAAGACAGAAGCGTTATATAAAAAAGCGAAAAATTAATAACATAGAAGCAATCACATATAAGGGAAGCATCAAATCTATCGAATTCATTAAATACCTAGATTACGAACCGGAATCGGATGTTGCTATCATTATAACTAACGCTGTTGATAATAATATTATATTGGAAACTGATGCTAAGGTTCAGGTTAATCAAGAATGTTATAAACTGGGAAGGATAGATCAAACATGTATTCATTGTGGCACCAAGTTTTGGATAGAAGAAAAAGATCAGAGTAGTAGTAGAAAATTTCCAAAATTTTCGATTTGTTGTACCCATGGAAAGGTTCACTTACCATCCTTATCTGAGCTGCTACTATATTTACTGGACCTCTATACTTCAGTTGGATCTGATGGAAATTCATTTCACAAGAACATCAGAAGCTATAATAACATCTTAGCATATACGTTGTTTGAGACTAATATAATTAATGAGTTTCAAGGATGTGATATGTCTAATTTCTGGATTCATGACCAAGTTTATTATAGTGTTGGACCATTACTGCCCAAAGAAGGATGCTCTCCAACATTTGCCCAATTATATATTTATAATATTGTGCATGAAAATGAAAACCGATATAATATTGTGCAGGGGTTAAATAAAGTTATTCTAAAGAATTTACAGGACATGCTAGATGAATGTAATCCATATATCCAAAAATTTTGCCAGGTAAGAGACCTCATCCAGAAAAACATAATGAATGAAATTACAATATTGATTCACGATGATTAAACATGAGATCCCCATTGGTATAATACTCCTAATGCCTCTAAAGTAGTAGCAATTATGATTGGTGATGATCATAAAGTAGATCCAACTAATCAAGACATTCTTCTTAGGTTGCGTGGTGATAGTCTACAGAGAATATCAAAACTTTGTCCATCTTACAATCCGCTTCATTATGTACTATTATTTCTAGGTGGAGATAATGGTTGACATATAAATATACCTCTTAAGGGGGCTAAAAAAAGAGAGAGAATAACGGCAATGCAGTTTTATTCTTAAGACTACAGATTAGGAATAACAGTTGGTTACAAAGTGCAGGCCGTTTATATCAACAGTATATTGTTGATCAGTATTCTAAGATAGAGCAGAATCGTTTGAATTACCTTAAACACAACCAATCATCACTTCGAATTGAATTATATCAAGGCCTTATGGATGCAATATATAATGAAGGTGACAACAACAAAATTGATCATTATATAATTCTTCCATTCTCATTTAATGGTGGACCACGCCAAATATATCAGTTGTATCAGGATGCGATGGCTATTGTAGGTTATTTCGGAAAGCCTGATCTTTTTGTGACTTTCACATGTAATCCCAAGTGGCCAGAAGTTACCAGAGAATTATTTTCTTATCAAAGTGCTGCTAATAGACCTGATTTAATGACTCACGTGTTTCATATAAAATTATGAGAGCTATTGAAAGACTTAATTCATAATAAATTGCTTGGTAAAGTTATCGCATATATATACATGATAGAGTTTCAGAAATATGGTCTACCTCATGCACACATTCTGTTAATATTGGCACCAGATGATAAATTACGATCCATGGAAGATTACGATTCTATTGTTTCCATTGAGATTTCAGATCTCATAATATATTTTCTTGCTTTTGAAACAGTATCAACCATGATAATGCATGATTCATGTGGTGTAATGAATCCAACCACATCATGTATGAAAGATGGCATGTGCAAAAAGCGCTATCCTAAGGATTTCCAGGAGAACATACAAGACAGTAATAATGGATATCCTATTTATCGCAGGTGAAATACTAACTATTCCATTGAATTTAAAGACGGAATTCAATTAGATAACAAATGGATTATACCACATAATATTAAGTTAGTAATGAAATATAATGTGCATATTAATATTGAAATTTGTAGTTCTATATTAACAGTTAAATACCTATACAAATATGTCTATAAAGGTTACGATTGAACAACCATTATTCTTTCTCAATCTATCAGTAACGATACTCAGCAGACATTAACAGAAGCTAAATCAATTGATAAAATAAAAATGTACCTGGATGCAAGATATGTCTCGGCTTCTGAAAGTATTTGGAGAATTTTTCATTATAGGATGTATCATCATTTTCCAAAGGTACAGAGACTAGCAGTCCATCTCCTGGAACAGCAATATATTACCTTTCAAGATGGAGAGAATCTGCAAAATATTATAGAATGCAGTAATATATATAGAATGACCTTAACCACTTAATTCCTGGAGAACATGGTTAATGCTACAGCACATACATATAAATATATCGACTTTTCTCTTCACTATACTTGGGATAAGTCTTTCCATAAGTGGAAACTCAGAAAAACTGCGACGACTATAATCGGAAGGCTTTATATGGTACAACCATTAGAAGGTGAAAGATACTATCTAAGAATGTTACTTATTCATGTCAAAGGTGCAACAAGCTTTAATAATCTAAAAAACAATTAATGGACATATGTGTAGAAGCTTTAAAGAAGCTTGTATTTGCATAGGTTTTCTTCAAAATGATGATGAATAGGATGCATATTTGTATGAGGCAAGTAAGATACAGACTGGACAACAACTACGACATCTTTTTGCAATGATTCTTCTTTTTTGTCAGCCGATGAAACCTGAAGTACTATGGAGTAATCATAAAAAAGCATTATGTGAAGACATTTTGTATCAGAGTTATAAATTAATGCAAAACTAATATGATAATATAATTGATACCATTGAATGTGAAGCATTAAATCAATTAGAAGACTATCTGTTACTAAACAGAAAATCACTAAAAGATTTTCCAAATATGTTAATTCCTTCCAAAGGGATGCTAAATGTTAATGAGGATTTAGATCAGTTAATTCGAGAAGAAAAATTATATAATACTATACAACTAAAGGATGAATTATGTAGAAGTATCCTTTTATTAAATAAAGACCAGCGTGAAATATATGATGCTGTTATGCAGACAATTGAACATAATGACAAATATTTCTTTGTAGATGATCCAGGTGATACTGGAAAGATGTTTTTATACAATACCTTACTTGCAAGCATTAGATCACATAGAGAAATTGCTTTAGCAGTGATATCTTCTGGAATTGCCGCACTTTTGATGAGGGGTGGTCAAACTGCATATAGTCAATTTAAAATTTTACTAAAACTAAACGAGTCTTCAACGTGCAATATCTTATGAAGAAGCAAAGAGGCCTGTTTAATTAATATTACAAAACTTTTTATTTGGGATAACACCCCAATGATCCATAAGTTTGTATTTGAAGCACTCGACCGGACATTTCGTGACATCACCAAAATAGATAAGCCATTCGATGGGAAGGTTTTTGTCTTTGGAGAAGATTTTCGCCAAGTTCTGCCTGTCATACCACATGCATCTCGTGCTGATGTTGTCTCAGCAAGCTTGAGCCAATCATTTTTAGGGAAATACCTAAGAGTAATGAAATTGATAATCAACATGAGACTTCATCAGACTAATGATGCTGATGAGAACTGAAGACAAAGAAATTTTGCTGAATTTTTCTTACAAATTGAAGACAGAAAGTATCCAATTATCCCAAACACAAAAAACAAAATAGAACTTCCTTCGGACATAGTAATACTTAGAGGGAAATTGTCGGATC